GGAGGATGTAGGAAGTTGTAGAAGCTGTTTATCTCCTGCAGTTGAAAAGATGGAATCAAAAGGGGATGAGAAGAACAAATACAAAAGAAAAGATCTGCCTCCACAGGACTTGAGTTGGAGCCCCTCTCCAGGGAGTGATACAGTATGCTCCCCTTGGAATCACAGATTGTCTAAAAAGGGAAAGTCTAGAAGCCCACAGTCCTGTTCACGGGACAGTCGAAGCAGCCATGGCCATCGGTCTAAAAGGGAGCACCTTAGCAAAAGCCAACTTAAAAAGAGACGATCGAGAAGCAGAGATAGTAGCAAACATAAGAGCAAAAGAAGCAGCAGAAAATCAAGGGCTCATGACAGCAGAGCCTCTCTGAAAAGCCAGAGGGGCTCTCTGAGTGGTGAGAGCACTCCATCCAGAGAAGTGAGCCGATCACGTTCACGCAGCAAAGGCCACAGTAAAAGGAGATCAAGAAGTAGAGACAGTGATCGCTACTATGTAAGAGACAGTTACCAAAGTAGACACCAGTGGGGTTCTGCTTTCTGTAGTCGAAAGGTGTTTGGAGACAGCTATGAATCCTCCAGCAGAAGGAAGACCCGGTCTAACACTCTTTACTCGCGGCAATCTGCTAGTCCAGAATACAGGATACGATCATTTATTGAGAGGACAGATCTGCATAGCCAGAGGGGACTCCATGAGAGACACTATTACTGTTACGAAAGATGCAGGTCAAGGAGTCGGTCAAGCAACAGATCAAGGACTCCTTCTGGAGGAAATGACAGAATGAAAAGTGAAAAGCCTGGTGGAAAAAGGAAGTACAAAACTCGCCACCTGGAGAATACATTCATGGAAAGCACAAGTCTAGAAAGAGAAAATGAGTCCAAGAAAACTTCCTCAAAATTTGGTGATTACTGCAAAAATGAAGATAGCCTGTCAGACAATCGTGCAAGCAGTGAGACAAAGCGTAAGAAAAGGAAGAAGAAAATGAGGAGTCCAAGCGTGGAGATAGTCTATGAAGGAAAAGCAACAGACACGATGAGGCATCTTAAAAAGAAAAAGAAAAAGCATAAGAAGAAACACCGGAAACATCACACGAGTAGCTCAGTACATTCTTCTCCGGTGGTGATTACAATTGATAGTGATAGTAGTAGCAAGGAACCAGAAAGTACCGAATGGGACAGCAGTATTACATGGACAGGAACAACTCAAATAAATGAGAGGGAAAATGAGTCTCCATCTTCTTTTCTAAGGAGGACAGGATGTGGGGAAACTGCAGAAGTAGACAAAAAGTATGATATCCCTGACACAAGGGAAAACTTAGATGGTGGTGTTAGAGATGCTGATGTCAAACTTCAGGAAACAGCAGCTGATCAGAGTGTTACCACAGTGAGTACCAGCAGTAACACCTCTCACACAGAAACTGTAACCAGTTATGTTCAGGAAGCACCAGCAGCACCTTCCAGTCAACTGCCTTCCCCCAGGACTTCCTTCCTAGAGTGTCCAGAGAGAGAGCCATTGATACTGAGACTTCCAAAGAGACTTGTCAACAGATCCTCATGGTTTGATTTCCCAGAAGAAAAAATGTAGTAGGCTTTCCTTGGAACACTTGTTAAAACTGTGATTTTAACTACTTCATAACTATTTCATAAAGCCATCCACAGTGGATTTCAAAGTTTTGTGTAAACCGAACAACAGAAAAGGAGTCCAAAACAAGAGCCTAGAAAGGCATTTTATGGGGATTGTTCTTCTTAGACCAGAAAAATGTTTAGTTCATAAAAAGTAATTCAGTCAGAATTCCAGCATCATTTCAATTTCTGGTTTAAGCAGATCTCTGCTGAAAAGCAGTCAGTGATTTATTTCTACAGAAATTCTCAAATGTCTTTGTATAATTTTAAGGTAAGCTATGTCAAAGTCTGAATGAAGCAATAAAGTTTTTTTTGTTGTTTGTTTAAATATATTTACATATGTACTGTGTGTTTTGCAAATGGAGTTTTTTCTTTTGGTTTTGAGTGTCTTATGTATCCAGACCATTGGATATTTTTGCAGTCAGGAGAACTTCAGGTTGGAAGGGTTGTTTGGAGATCAGTTGGTACAAGCCTTCACTAAAAGCTGGAACTTTGATCAGATTGCCTGGGTTTGGTTCAGTTCTGAGTTTTCCCAAAAGCTGGGTGGCCGCTCTGTCCTGCCCTTTCTAAAATAAGAGTTTTCCCTTGGGAAACATTTTTGTTTTCAAATTTCTTATTTTTATTTCCCATTTTGGAGCCTGTGCATTCTGCCTTGCATTCTATAGGTGTGCAGTCTTCCAGAAGTCTTTTCCTCTTCTTTATATCCTGTGGCTGCATACTTGAAAAATATCTGTCTTGTCTAGTCTTGGCAATAAAAGGTCTTCCTCCTGACCTCCTTGAAATAACCATCATTCACCCAGGTCAGCACATCCTAGGTGTCCTGCTGCAGGTATGTGCAATACACAGGGCTCTGGCAGGGTTTTGTTTTCCAGGTTTGGCCCTTTGTGTGCATAGCAGTAGCTCTGAGGGCTGAATGAGGAGGGTACCTTCACTGTCTCTCCTGCATTACCTCCACGAGTTTTATGGATTTGACCGTGGCTGGTTACTTGCCAGGTAGTCAAGCTGCTGCTCTGTCACTTTCCTTTCTCTGCAGGATGGGGGAGAAAGTTAGATGGGAAAGCTGGCTTGAGGCAATTACAAGGTACTGTCACTAGCCAGATAGAGTTGGGTACAATTAATATCTTGTATTGCCAGTGAAAAATTGAGTAGGAGGAGAAGAAAAAAAAAGACAAAACTGAAACTAATCTCCCCTCCTTTCTCAACTTCACTCTTTCATATGTGCTCTTCTACCTCCTCCTCCCCAGCTGTACAGAAGGATGGGGAATGGGTATTGTGTTAAGTCCATCTCATTCTTGCTGCTTCTTACTCCTTACACCGTTCCTCTGCTCTAACATGGGCCCTTTCTACAGGTATGCAGTACTTCTGAAATAGATTGCTCCAGCTGCCAGGAAACCTGCTCCTGTATGTGCTCCTAAGCATAGGCGTCAGCTCCTGACAGGAGCCTGTTCCTGTGTGAGATCTCCATGGGCTGGAGCTTCCATAAGGGCATCTCTACCTGCTCCAGAGTGGGGCTTTTCCACAGCCTGCAAGTGGCTCTCTGCTCCACTGTGATTATCCAGGGGCTGAAGGGGCAGCTTGTCTCACCATTGTAGCATCCCATGAACTCTCCCGCCTCGGTCAATTCCCAAGTTCCCAGCCCTGGAAACAGCAGTAAGTACTTACCATAGAGTTGGTCCTCCTAGGGGGAAAATACAGACTCCCAAATGGACTTCTGGGTCACAACTTCCCCTGGTTTGTCCTGTCCCCACACTGGATTGGTATCCCTTGTGGCCACCCCCTTCCCCTGGAGACCAAACTCCTCTGCCCAGCCCTTAGCTCCACTCCCCACCCCTTCCCCTTTTCAAGCTGCCTGCTCCATGTAGTTCTCTTTTCCTCGCTGGGTCCCCTTCAGCCACGCTCCGCTGGAATAAAACCTTGCAAAAGAGACTTTCTTGCCTCTGTCGCTGAGCCAGTTGTAGTGAGTATTGAGTGGGGGTTTGACTGCATTGCCTGAACGTTAACTCAGCTTGCTTTTCAAGAAGAGAGGTTTATTAGGGACAGATAATAGGCAGCAGCACCCACCATTCTGACACCGCATTTTTACGCCATGGTCTTCATCACCTGGAAGTGCCCAGACTATGGAGAAGGGCTGCTCCTTCCCAATCAGTTGGCACAGGGTAGCTGAGCCTGAGACGGAGTCAGGAGTGGTGACAGTCAGTCACCTCCGCTCTTGCCCTGGGAGCGTCTCTGGGCTGCAGAGGTCAGGTTGGTCCCTACCATGGGATTAGGTTTCAGAGAGCACAAATGTCTGAGGGATCCAGGGCACTGGGAGGTCCGGGGCCACATGCTGTGAACTGTAGCGGTGGTGGGCTTGCCGTGGTCCAGTCTGGCCGCTGGCTGCTAAGAGCTCTCTGGTGTCTCCTGGGAGTGAGTGTGGTGCCTCCCTTTGTTCTGTTTAGCGCAAGTTCTCCTGGAGGGCAGGGGCTCAGGGCCTGGGGTGTCCCTGCCAGATGGCTCAGGGATTGCTGCTGCAAGTGCCATTGACTGGAAGGCTTGGTCCATTCACACAGCTGGGATATCCTTAGCAAAATTGGCACTTCTACACCCAGAGTGCTAGGATGGAGAGTACAGGCTATCCAGGAGAGGGCAGGGCAAGGTGGAGCTCTTGCACTAAATAGAAGGGAGAAGTTTGATACAGCCCTTACAGAGGGTGGTGATGTGGTTGGGAGTCTCTGGGTGAAGATGATGTGGTGGAAGACAAAGCAGATATGGTGGGTGTCTTCTATCAATTGCCCAGCCAGGATGCCAGTGCTGAGAAGTTAATTTAACAGGCAATTGGGAGAAATCTCTGGATCAGCAGCCTTTCTCCTTGTGGCAGATTTCAACTTTCTAGAGACCAGCTGGAAATGTCTCCTGCTATGAGCAGGAGCAGATTTGAAAAATTCTTACTGTTTATGGGAAAGAACTTTGTGTTATAAGTACTCAGAGAGGTGCCTAGGGAAAGGAAAGGTATCCTAGACTTACTGGTTTGTTATGAAGAAGGCCTGTTGGTAGATGGCATGGTCTTGGGCCACAGTGATCAGGAGATGGTTCAGCTTAAAAATGTCAGTGCAATGAGGAAAAACGAACTGCAGGGTTGCTTCTCTGTTTTGAGAGAGCAAACATTGCACCACCCAGGAGTCCATGGGAATCTGCTCCTGAGGTCTCAGGAGCTGCATGCTACATGGGATCTGCTGCAAACACCGGAAAAGAGCAATGTCAGAAAACATTCTCAATACTTCAAAGACATTTACAGCATGGGAAACTTCATTTGGTTGTTGTTCATTACACTCATTGCTAGGAAATTGTCATTAAAACGTGAAGGGTGTCTAGGGCAGTGAGCACAACTGAGGAAAACAAGTGCTACAGGCCACCATTGCTTTCCAGAGCTGCTTGTGTAAACCAGCTCATGACTCCCACTGCACCTACCTGCCTAGTGTGAGAAGGCAGCGTGACTTGGCACCAGCTGCTACTAAGGGTTGTACGTGTGTAGAGAAGGCATTATGGCTTAGCCCCAGCTGGCAACCAACTACCGTGCAGCTGCTTACTCAACAGCACCCTACCCCACTGGGATGGGGAGGAGAACTGGGGGGAAAAAGAAAAGTGAAACTTAACAGTTTAATGATTGAACTGGAGGAAAATATAATAGTAGTATTAGTAATAGTAATAAAAAGGACGGAGAGAGAGAACCAAAGAAAAGTAAATAATGGACAACATTAGTGCTCACCACCTGCTGGCCAATGCCAAACCCAGACAGGCCCTCATCTGGGTAACTCCCCCATTTATATACCGGGTGTGACATTCTATTTTGTGGAACGTCCATTTGACCAGTTCAGGTCCCCTGTTTTGGCCATGCTTTTCTCCACCTTTTTGTGTGCTTCCTCACTGGTAGAGCATGAGCCGCTGAAGAGTCCTTGGCTCAGAGTATGCATACCAACAACAACCAAACCATCAGTATGTTATCAGCATCATTCTCATATTGAATCTGAAACACAGTGCTGTACCTGCTTCTAAAAAATACCTACTCAAATTCCAGCCAAAACCAAGACAAGGACTGAGCTGCATTAATCAGCTCAGGGCAGGAAATGAGCTTTATCAATCCTCTTCTAGAGTTCCTGTGGCATAATCTTGTAGGCTTAGACAAGACTTCAGCCACCAGTTGTGTTGGATTTAGCAACCCACATAACCTTATCCAGGGCTATTTGACTTTTCCTGGATATTCTGCCTGTTTTCCAGGTGCCTTTTGAGAAGAAGGTGTCTTACCTACTTGGGGTGTAAAGCCCTGGACTCTCTTGATATGTTTCTTTAAGGTTAAGATTTTTATTCTCTGGGACAGGCATATGGGAGAAACACAGTGTTCTCAGGAGGTTAAACAAATTTTTACAGGCAAACTTAAGAGAATAAGGGTACGTGGCAAATTTTAAAACATTCAATTGACATAAAGCATTTCACAAGACATTGACTTAGCAAACTCTAACCCATCCAACTTTAAGTTACCCAGATTTCAAGAAGAAGAAGAAGTTAGGGAGATGGTATTTGTGCAATTGCTTTTATCTGCTTTAGCCTCCTGGAACCCACCCCTCCATGTGGGGCTTCTGGTGTGCCAGTGGCTGATAACCATTTTAAAGCTGGGTTAGAGGCTCCAGGAAGGTGGAATATGGACAAGTGCATCATCCCACTTTTTGCAGAGCTTTCCTTGCCACCCTGCCGTGCACACACACACTTTGGTTGTTTTTGAGCAAATAGTGATTTTCTCCAGTCTCTCACACTGGGGTAACTTGAAATCTCAGGAGAGACAATGAGAGCAGATAAACCCACCAGAGTTATTTTGCTGTACATGCATGCAGAGCTTACTCATGTAGGCCTGGGATGTTTGTGGTTCATCGTGTCAGAAATACATAGTAACCTAGGGTGTTCTGTAGGGACCGCCTCCTTTAGTAACCACCTGCTGTGCTTCAAATGAGTTTCGAAGGTTCATCACATTGAGGTGAAACTGCAGAGATGAAGCATATTTCTGTCTCCAAACTGGACAAGAATCCAAAAGGTGGCTGCAGAAAATGCTGCTGCTGTTGTCATGCATGTCTATTGAACATTTTACGGGTAGATGAATCATCAGCAGTGCCACAGATGCTCAGTGCTGCAGTTTTAAGGAGTTTGGAGGGCCAGTTTCCAGCAAGCTGGAACTATCTGCAGTTCAACAGGTTTCATGGCTTTTGCCATGGAGTGACAGAAGACCTGGAAACATCCCAAGCCTAGCTTGGCAACCCGCTTATCTAGGTATGTTGTCAGTAGTCTCCAAAAGAGGAACTAAATTAACTGA